GATTTATCTCAGTAAGCTGAAATGATAGCTCAAGTGTGGGATACTTGGCTGGTTGATAAATTTCCCCAATTTACGCTGTTTCCTTTCCTATGTATTTGAATCTTCCGCATACTAGAGTTCACATACTAATTCACATACTAGAGTTGAAATCACAGCAGTTAATTAAAGGAGTTATATTTGAATCGCTGGATTTATATAATAAAGACTGGAGAAACTTAAGCAATGTCATTTGTACATTTTTATTCTATCCTACAAAAAAATTCTTCACAACACTTAGATATTTTTCATTCCTTGGTATTTAAAAAAAAATAAATCTATACCTACTGTACACATCACCCTTTGGGAAATGCTCCTTTAACTGACAAGCTTTGTTCTTCATTTGGAATTATACCTATTTTAGAACACCATAATTGGAAAAAAGGAAAGCTAGTCTGCTGATAACTAGGTCTAGTCCCATTGATGTCCATGGAAATGAGGACAGAGACCTTGAACTGGACTCTACTAATTGGGGGAGCCATTGGAAAGAACAGCTTAATCTGTGTTGCTAAGCAAATGAGCTGCTGTTACAGTCTTCTAGGCTTCCTGCAGAGAATGAAGTCACGCTTATGCTTGCTATTTATTACATTTTGTGTCTCTCACTTTCCAGAGTTGCTGTCAAATTCTACCTTGAAGAATGTAGACTTTATTCACTTTTTAAGTGCAGATACTTGCAGAACTTTTTTACTGTGAATTAATCTGGGGTATATGGAAGCTATGTGACTGGTTGGTTATTGTACAGAGCTGTAGAGTCTTAAGTTTCTTATTATAATACAGAATTGATGCACTTTTGATTCAGAACAGTTTAGTTAGACGTTAAGATTACCTGTGCTGTGTTTGGCAGCACCATTTTTCCATACTTCTTTTGGACACATAGAGAATAGTTAATAAAAGGTGAAAATATTCCATATAACTTTATTGGAAGGAAAAAAAGAGGAATTTATCCTATTTATAACTTTATATATGTTACATTAAATGAGAGTAAAATTATTTAAGTTTTTTAATATTGACTCTTTTTGGCTCTATTTAAAACAACTCCAATGTTTGGGTTGGCTGTGCCTTCCTTAATTCAGAAGCATCGAGTGTTATGAGTTTGAAATATAACAGTTTTGCTCAGTGCAAAAAGCTGTCCTAGTATCCAAAAGCATATGATTTTATCTTTGTTGTATGTCAGGATATTATAGTATTTATGTCAGTCAACTATGCTTATTATTCTTCTGTCTTTAGCTTCTGCTCAAGTATTTGTTTCCTTGTCCTGGTTTATCACAAAACTTCAATTAAAATTGTTGAAATGTGTTTATAAACATCTGTTTCAGTGATGTTTGAACAGGTTTACAGATGTTAGGTTTATAAAGGAAAAAGGCTAAAATGAAAGAAGCCCAAGTCCTATACAGTCTTCCCTTCATCCGAGTATCGGGTGTCTTAGTCTGTCTATAAGAATTAATTATGTACTTCCACCTGTTCTTCCTAATCCATTTATGTCTTGACAGAGTGTCATGGTTTGGGGTCAGGGCCACCCCCAGAATCATAACAGATGCTCTCTATTAACCCTCTTTTCCCCCCTCCCCCAAGAAAGGGAATGAGAAAGGGAATAAGGGAGAGAGACTTATTGATTAGAAAAGAAAAGGAAAACAGCTTTAATTCTACTACTACTGATAATAGTAATAATGATAATAAAATAGAATATGTACAAATATATACAAAATCA